AAATCTGCATTACAGATACTGTAGATAAATACATAAAAGCTGTTAATAAATACACGTGTGCATTCATTCACTTGTGTATACCCTCAAATGTGAATTGCCAATCATTCTAAAGAAGACAAAGTGGTTGCAAGATAACAGAAGGTTATTCTTCTGATATCAATAGCATTAATCATATATTTCACAGTGAAGTTACCATTAAAACATAACTTTGATTAATGGTAGTGTCAGTGTATTTAATCAAGTGCAAGCAACACAGCACTGTGAGTATTTCTCCCCTTGACCTCATCCAGCTGAGGAGAAATGTGAGTGAAATCTGGGCCATTCCATTGCCTCAGACCTGGCATGAAAGGAGACTCCAGGGCCTATCTTTGCCCAAATGACTTCTCAAAATTTGAGACAGAGGAAAAATAGGAGCAAGTCTCAAGTCTGAACCCATATCAAACATTGCAGTGATTAATTATAGGCAAGGAAATCATATCAGTGGATCTCAAATAAAAGCAGTGTCTTCTTGTTCTAAACTTTGCACTTCCATATACTGAGAAACCATTCCAGAGAGTGGTCAGTTATTATAGACAAAGGTTAGGGTGTGCTTTAGGGTGCAAAACAAGTTGCAAATCAATCTGGACATATACTTCCCCCTGTACTCAGCATTGGTGAGGCTGCACCTCAAAACTTGTGCTCAGTTTAGGGCTCCTCACTGAAAGAAAGATTGAAGCACTGGAGCATCTAGAGAAGGGCAACAGAGCTGGAGCACAAATCTGGTGAGGAGCAGCTGAGGGAGCTGGGGATGTTTAACTGGAGAAATGGAGGCCCAGGGAAGGACCAGATTACTTTCTACAGCTCCCTGAAAGGAGGGTGCAGCCAGGTGGGGACTGGGCTCTTCTTCTGGGTAGCAAGTGACAGGAGAAGAAGAAATGGCCTCAAGTTGCACCAGGGGTGGTTTACATTGGTTATCAGGAAAACTTTCTTCCATGAAAGATGGCCAGGCATTGGAACAAGGTGCTGTGGACACACACATTTAGAGAACTAGGGAATTACAGCTTGGAAATTCTTTTCAGGCCTGGATTTCTCCTGACTCTCAGGTCCATTCCCAGGCTGACAAGCTGACTGCAGCTTCAGTTAGGGGGGAAGTCTCCCAGGGTGATAATATGGTGAAAAACAGAGTGGAATTCATAATAAAGATTAACCCCTGGTGTCTTTCCCATGGGGTACATTCTGAGGTGCTGTCCCAAGGGTGTTTTTCCCAATTGTCCAATGAACTACTGTCCTGTCCTAGCTGCATGTAACACACTGTAAATACGGGCTGTCTCTACAATAATGTTGGCCTTTTTTCCCCAAAAAATTCTGTGTGTGTTGCTGTCCTTTCCCTCTCTTTTCAGCACAGTAACCACAGGTGCCCAGGGAAGTGGTACAATTTCCAGCCCTGTAAGTGTTCAAAAGAAACATCTGGATGTGGCACCTGAGTTTAGTGAACATGGTAGTTCTGGGCTAAGAGCTGGACTTGATGATCTTAGAGGCCTTTTCCAAATTGAACAACTCTATGATTTTGATAGACAGCCCTCTGCTGCAGTCCTGTGTTAGATCTGTATGGTTGAACTATAGCTCAGCCTTTGGCAGGGGTTTGAACTCTTTCAGAGTTGCCTTTTCTATCAATGTAATGGAGCCCTACATTTTTTGTAGGGTGTGTTACTGTGTAACACATGTAACACCTCATGAACTGACACTGGCAGCAGAACAAAACCAAATGGAATGGCTTTTCAGGTGGAAAAGACCAAAGTCCAAGGAGCAAATCTCACAAGGGGGTTGAACAAAAGGGAGAAGAAAGATCAGAAAGAAATGATGGGACAAAGGAAAAAAGATGGAGGATGAGTTAACTGCAGCACTTGCTGCGTGTAAAGGAAATGGAGATGAAAATCATGTACAGATCCATCTGAAAGAAGGGGGAAAGGTCTTTACTTACAGAGCTGGCAAACATTTACAGTTGCTCCAAATATACCCTTCCTTTCACTGTGCTCTATTTGATGTTGCTGCTTTATTGACTTCTCTGTGCTCCCAGTAATTTGGGGTGATTTTGGCAATTGCAATCAGAAAGGTTCTATAGTTGTGGGCATGATGTTATGTCAGTGAGCAGGAAGGAACTGGAAGGATTTTACCTGTCTGTGGCAAAGATAGCTAAAACATCTCCTAGGGCACTTTGCCAGCATATTTCAACTGCACCTTTAAACTGGGCAGCTTACACTGTTCTCTGTGCCAAATAAAAATTCTCTTGGTTTCTTCTTAGACAGCTTTTGAATCACGGGTGAAGCCCAAAGAAAAGTCTCTAATAAGCACTATTTTTTTTCCACTCACCACTAACACAAAAATTCTGAACAGATTGAAGGCAGGGGGATGGGAAAGGAAGAGGGATGAGTGAGGAGGAGTTCCATTGTGCTGAGACCAATTATAGAGGTCTCAGCCCAAAAAAAGACTCTTTCAGAAAGTCCCAAACAAATGAAAACAGGAGACTGTGATAAATCGTAGCACAGCTTTTACAGCCATGCATCTCTTATTCCCCTAAAAGCTATAATAAGGAAATTGTAAGGGTTCATATCCCTCTGAGGACTGTAAATTCAATCAGTCTTTAAATACTTTGCATCTTCACTGTGTTAGATTATTTTACTAGTAATGGATTAGAGTGGCCTTTTATTACAAAAAAAAAAAAAAAAAACAACAAAAAAACCAAAACCTGCAAAAAGATACCACTTTTAAAAATATTCTCATCTTTCTGGTACCCTAAAATAGTATTGAGAAAACATGCTTAAAGCTTGGTGCTGGAACAAAAACATAGCATCAGCTGGAAACAGGGCTTGTTCTCTCGAATATGAATTCATCCACCTCCTTCAGTTTTGAAATCTTAACAGCCTCCTACCACATTCTGGTTGTTCCCTTGTATTCTACTGTATATTCATGCATCTTTATACTTCCTGAGCATTATGTCTCTTTTGCCCCCTTGAACATGTTTGTTCAGTATGGATTTTATGTGGCTTATCCCTCCCGAGTATGTTTTCAGAAACCACTACATGGAAAACACTGCAGAACCTCCAGTTTTTTCAAGCACAAGAGGGAAAATAAACAGCTGATAATCATTAGGAAGTGGGAACTGAAGGCGTATATGACATAAGTGTGTAAGCTAGCTTTCATTAAAAAATGTTTAAATGGCTGACTGGAGTGGATAAATCTGTCCTGAAAACTATTTGGTGATACCTATCAGAGATGATCACAACATACAAGATACAATGTGGTGTTTTCTTGACTATATCTCAAGGCAGTTTGGAAGACAGATTATGTCACCACTCGGTTTCTGGTTGCCATTATTCATGCTTCTATTGAATTCCATCTATTTCTGTTCTCATCATTGTTCAAAAATACTGGATTGTGCCACCACAGTTGGGAATCAGTAAGGAGGAGCACGCCAGCTCTAAAAAAGGAAAGCTTTTTGCTCTCACAAAAAGGCTTTGTTAATTAGTGCTACACAAGTAGGGAAATGACAAAACTCCATACTTTTCCATTTAAATGTTTGTAAAAGTGATTTTGTTTAAATTTCACTGAGTGTAGCAGGAAATGTTAAAGCTGAAAGAGACCAGACAGAACATACTAATGTCCTTTGGAGTGGGAGTGAAAGAGGGGAAGGGCCTGAGGATTTTATTTTCTTTATTTATACTCTTTCCATAGAAATCTGCAAACTTTTGAAGCTTGTAAAAGAAGTATTGATTTGACAGCCCCAAAGACAGAACTCTTCTTTTCACGTAGAGAGCCAGCACAACATAAGCAGTCACAGGAACAACCCCCTGTTCGCTGCTGAGCTGGAGACAAAAGGAACAATTCCAGAGCCAGCCCAACACCTATACAAGGTGCCTCTTTGCACATATATTTGCCTCACTGTTTTAGAGCACCCTCCCAGCAGGATACATCTCGCCTAACCTTTGGTATTTGAGGACAATTGAGGCAATCTATTTACTTATTCTCTGCAGGTAATAGCTAAAGAGGGATTTTTCTAGAGCATTCGAATGGATTCTTCACAGGCAACAGAAAAAACCTACAAGACGATTACACTCCTAAATTGGATTCTTGAGTTACTTGCCCAAAATTAGGTGGATTAATCTAGATCTTAGCATATCCATACAAGGACTTGGTGTTGAGTAGCAAGTATACTTTTAATTCACACACTAGCTCATAGTGCATTCATTTCCTCATATAGACAAGATATAAATCAAAAATAACAATGCTGTTTATTAGGATGAATTAGTAAGATTCTGCTGCAGATAATTTCTGGAAACTGTATTACTCCACTATCAAATAACTTTCTGTACATAAAAATAATGGGAACAAGACCTTAGCTTTTCTCTATGGAAGCATGCTGTCTTAAAATTGAGTTCGAATTTGACTAGTCCTAATAATGCTATTTATTTATTAGTTGAAATAATAATACTTATTTTGGCAACCAACATTGATCTAATAAAACACAGATGTGTGAATGTAGCTATATTTGCATTCAGGCAGGTATCTGCAGTTTATAGTCACCTAGGGGCTCCCTATATCCACAGAGAGTTACAGGCATTGGCTCCATGTAAAGGAAAGCCACAGAAGCTTTCCTGTTTGGACTTCAGCTTCAGAGAGGGAAACGTGGATGTAGCTTTCATATAATTAATTTCCCTTTCTCTGCCTCTTCACTTTTCTGCTTGTTTCATGAGAATCCAGACTCAATCTCTTGTGGCCAACTAACTTTTCTTTTTAGGTCAAAAATTAAACTGCTAATATAAAAATTAATTTTCACTGTCAAAGCCTGGAAAATAGATTTTTCCTTTAGCCTTTTCTATCCAAAGCAGTCTCACCTCAACAAGGTAATCAGACATGATGACATATATCAATCCACCCACTTTGTGTCTTGGCAGCCTATGGACATGACCTTGCTCCAGCCACATTCATCTTCCTTTCACCAAATATTTACTTCTCTTCTACTACGCCAGGGCCTGTACAAGTGACAGAAAACCTTCCTGTAGAAATGTCATGCCACTGATGATTTCTGCACCTATCACATCTTGTTGTACTCGTTTTCTCCAGGCAGATATAAGCTAACCCAGTGGCATAATGGCACTTCCAAGATACTTAACTGCATTTTTAGTTCTCTGTGACTTTTTATCCCATGTGAAAGACAAAAAATAGGTGTTTCCCTTCTGCTCTTCAAGTTCATCCAACAGCTTTTGCATGGATTAGATAACCTACACTTACTTGCAGAGTTGAATAATAAATGTCATGTTTTTCATTAGTAGTTTGTTGCAGTAGATCATGTCTGCATGTTTCCTCTTGTCTTCAAAAAACAACACACTCTAGTTTGATTTGTTCTGTTTTGTTTTGTTTGAGGTTGTGACTAATTAAATGCTGGCATCACTAACATTATTGCTATCTTAGCTATGTATTTTAGAGTTATCCTTGAAACAGTCAGTAACATTCCAAAGGAACGTGTTTGATTCAAAATACCATTAGGAAAAAAAGTAAATGAGAGCAACTGGCTTGTGCTTGACTTGAGACATCCATTTCTAGGGAAAATCTAATCTGTCAGGCTAGCTGCATAAAGACATCTTTGAATGTTGACCCTGTATAACTTGGTTTAGTTCCCTAGAAATTCTTGAACATAAGAGTTTATCTGAGTTTCTACAACAGGATTAAGTTGCTGGTTTTGTAGGTCCTTCTGGTTCTCAGTAAATGTTTGCTGCCAATCAAAACTCCATTGCCTGTAAAATCCCATACATAGTTTATCTTTTTGTAAATACCTAAATCTGTATCCCATGATTCTAATATAAACTAGAAGGAAATTTTAACAGCTTTCTGTTAATGACATTTTTTCTTCTTAAACCACACTATTTAATTGACCTCATTGACCATCTTGCGCCTTTATGTGTGAAGAGTGCAATGGTTTACTAAAATAGGTTGTGAATTTGGCTCGTGACATACAGGTGTAAAGCCAGTGTCTCAGCATGAGTTCTCACCTTGCTGGTGAGTCTCAGGAGGCACCAGGATATGTTAAAGCAGGTTTGCTTCACAGCCGAGCTTTCCACATAAAAAGTTAGCGGTGTGTAAACGATTCTAGATAGAGAAAGCCCCAAAGTACTAAAAGTAAAGTTAATTTAATGCTTCCAGATTAACTGCCACATGCATTTCTCGTGGAGTCAATCTGATCAGCCTGGTTTTGATTTGGCTATATGAGCAAGTATCTGTGATTTCTCAGGAGACCATAAAGTGTACTCATTCACAAAGACACAGCAGCAAGCTAGTGAGCTTCGAGACATACAGCTGCATTTTGGGCTTGCAAATGCAAGAATCCCTTGCTTATGGTTCATTTATTATTTGATATGAAGTCTTAATATATATACAAAGAACAACTGTACTTCTTTGTCTTATGCTACTGCTGCAAAAAGCTACTTACTGCAGCTTTTGAATGTGTCCTTTGCCCTGGGTAGCTCATTAACACTTCAACCTTAGTTGCGCTGCATCTATTTAATTTTTAATGCAAAAATTCAGAGTGAAGTAGAAAGGAAAAGGAAAGTGAAGGAGGATAAAAGGGAAACAAAAGGATACTCAGAGACCAATATGGATATATGCAGGTTTCACACGGTGTCTGAATACCTGGAGGGAAGGAGAGAGCAGTCAAACACAAATGCTCATGTGACTCCTGTGGGTGAATTGACAAGTGCAGCCAATAGATTGATGCAGAGAGAACCATCCACAGAGCCTAAAGTGAAAATTATTTATACTTTTTATGTCCAGATACAGGTAATGTAGTATGCAGCTAATAAAGAAAGAATTTTTGGTTGGACAGTGGAAAGCCCTTGGGTTGGTATGTTTATACACAGGACTCCTTTAATGGCCTCAGGTCATTCACTCCTCTGAAAGGTGTCTCTGGTATTGTGCTATGGTTTTAGGGTCTTTGTGCTTGCACTGTGCATCCATTTTAATATATAGCATAATTTTTACAATACCTTTCTCAGTCATAGCACAGTTTCATTTGTAATAGATAATAAACAGCCAAAGGCCCAAATTACATAAATGAACCACTATTATTTTCTAAAAATTGAAATACTAGAAAATGTCTGAAGTAAAGATTATTTGTTTATTCTATTCTTACTTCAGGAATTTCAGTGACTTCAGAAGTTTATCCTTGAATGTTTAAATATGTCAGTGATTTTGATTTGCATTTGCTTCTCATCCTTCAACAAATCAATAATTTATTTTTTTCTTTTTTTCTATCATTCAGTAAATATGCACTGTGTATCTACACCTTATAGTAAGAAGGGGGGAAAAGCTCTGAAAGCCCCACAGTTCATTAAAGATGCATCAGGCTTTATTATCATTCAAAAAAGAAGGAAAGAAGAAGAAAAATGGGTGAAGAGGCCATCCTCTGCAGCATGATAGAAGCTAGGCTCATATAAAACAAGCCAAAGAATTAGTTCCTTCACCAAGGAATGACATGAAACTCTAGCCATGGTAGCTATAAAAACAGTTAAAGGTCTTCTTTGTGCTCATTAACACCACTGTGCTGGTATTCTGTGTTGGCAGCTTTTGGTTCTGCCGAGGCAGTCCTAAAGAAAGTTGTTACCAGCCTATATTCTACAGTTCACAGGCTCTCAAAAAGGACACATTAGAACAGCCAGAATCCCCAGGGCAAGTGGGGAGATTAAGTAGCCCTCTCCCTCGACAGAAGCCCCCGCAGACAAAGGTTGGCATTGTGCATTCAGCACACTATCTCTTTCCAGTGCTGAACTTTGCCATTGTCCCGCGGATCCCAGCGTACAAAGTGTTTGGGGCACTTTGCGTAACGGTTCACTGGCACCACCATTGACAGGCATCTGAGTGTGGGAACTGCTCTGAGGGATGGGATGCCCCCAAAATCATTGGCTTATTCTCTTGGTCCCTAAGCCAGTGGCAGTGTTTTAGTGCATGTGTGTGTGTGGGGGGGTGTTACTCTGCAGTTTTCTTGGAGTCTCATCTTTCACAAGAATACAAAATCAGGCAGGCAAAGCAAACACGGATTATTTGTTTCCCAAAGGATCAGGCCTTTTCAGAAGCTTTAGCTGTTCCACTGTCCTACAGAATCTACCACAAAGACCACAAGGTGCCTTGGAATACTTGTAGAATTTTGGGGGGATGCTAAAAACAAACTTTTGGGTTGGGGGGAAAAAATCTTGCTGTTTCATTATAGCAGTCATGAGAATGATTCTTTATCTACCCTATTTATTTCTATTTTATTTAATTTTGAATTTTTTTCAGATTGATTTTTAATTAATTTGAATAACTAATAATGAGATTTCATCTGGTGCTACAGCTTATTCCTTTGGATATGTGCGCTTTGATTGAAGACTTGTAAAGGACCTGGTACAAGAAAAGCAAAATTCTTGGAAAGACCAAATTTGGAAAGAATACTTCAGCTGAATCTTATATTTCATTTTCAGCTCCTTTTATATTAAAAACAGACTTAACAGATTTTTTTTTTTTTTTTTTGCCAGACTCCACAAATGTTAGCATGGATGCCTGGAAAGTGAAAGGGGCTCCTTCTGAGTAAAAGTATGTTTAGAAGCAAAGTTTTGGCGAGGGGCACGAGTTTTCCCTGCTTTCCTTCAGCAGCTGAGGGTACAGAAACATGAGCCAAGGTAGTGAAATGCAGAAGGTGCAGAGCATGGTTCCTGGGAGGAGAGGTGAACAGTAGGAATTCTGATGGAGGCAGAGAGAGCGGACATTGGCTTGAGGTTCTCTGAGGGAGGAAAAAACTCAAGTAGAAAGGACATGGTGATAGAAGACCAGAGACTTGTGGAAGGTTTGGCAGGAAACTGGAGCTCAAGGTGGGAGATGTCTTTCTGTTCCCCAACACTTGCCTGACACATTCAAATCTGTGCAATGGCAGTATTGGGTCTAAACTGAAGAGAGACTGTGGATTTGCATGGCTTGTGTTTAGACTATGGTGGGTGGAAAAAGAATGTGTGTTGACAAGGATGAAGATTTTACTGTGAAAAACACTGTGATCACTGTCTTGCTAAATGAGATTCATATTTATGACTGACAATGGGGGGAAAGGAAAGTGTGATAGGATTTTATATACTTGATGACTGTGAAGACAAATTATGAGATGCCATATTTTGCTTTGATAACAGATTCCTTGAGATGAAAGAAAAGCAGAAACTCAATATACCTGGACTTGGGTACATTTTTTTTTTCATTCAGCATAAGCAAAAATTAAAGCACACTGCAGAAGACTGTAATTAGTATAAATATCAGTAAGCTGAGTATGAAAAGCAAAGGGTGATGCTGAAGGGTGAACTATAGAAATATTGAAGCTGAAGTAAAATAAGTGTGTAGTTATCTTTCTAAAATTTGTCTTTGCTCTGTCCCAGATCACTTTTTTCCCTAACCATCCTTGTACAAGAATATGATGTATGGCAAGGTTTGATGGTATCATAAATAGAGAAGGACATCAGAGCAACATTTAGAGAAATTTGTACTGGCCACAAGGACTACCAAAACTGAAGTGAAACTGAGTATGTGAAGAACAAGGTCATAAACAGAATTCACGATTGTGAAACTATAAAGGAAAAACACCTGAGTGTACATATCAATCACAAAATGACAACTGGTAAACAGTGATGCAGAAACAAAGTTGAGGGAGAAGGTTTGTTCCCAAAAGCATGCATCAGAGAAAGAGAAGGCAATGATCAAACATAAAGATGATGTTGGCACAATACTAAGAAGGCACAAAATGACTAAAAATAGACTTACACATTAGAAAAATGCATCTGTGCATCAGAGAAGTAAAATTCTGGTACAGCCTTCCTACAGGGATAGCTGGTGCAAAATCAAATTCTTTGGCAGGAAAGTTAATGTGTGAAATGGGAATTAATGTTTAGAAAAACATTAATTTTTTTTGAAATGGTGATTTATCAAAATCAAAACATACCAGACGAGTGAAAAAAATCTAAAAAGGGTAAAAAAGAGAAAATAAAAATACAGGGGTTTAATAAGAGCAAGATTGAGATATTTAAGTCTCCCTTTTTTAAATGTTTCTCGTGGAACTGATTATTTACTTTAGCAGTAAAGAGAAAACTTAAAGAACATCCTCTTCAGCCACCAAATACTTCAGGTTTTGTGTATTCTTTTTTATTTTTTTCCTGAACAGTAACAAAATAGAGAGTTGCAAGTTCCTTTTGAAGCCATGAGGGCAATTTCCACACACCTCTACTAATCCTGCTCAAAGCAGCAGGTTTGTGAATGGCCATTCTGCCAGAAGCAGGCAGAGCAGGGGGACTATTCTCTGGCCTCGGTCCAGCTTGCCACGGATTCCCAAATGAATAGATGCTGTGGAATTTGGGAAAAAGTAGAGTGTGGCTATTAAGGGGCAGCAATGCACTGGAGAGCAGTAGTTGACTGCCTGCTCTGGGGAAGAGCTGGCTCAAAGCAGCCATTTTAAGGCAGGTGGTGTTACTGTGGACACAAGGAAAACCCCCAAATGCATGCTTGCTGTAGTATATCCTGAATCAAAGGCTCTGCTGTAAGGCCCCCCAGGGATCTAGCCATTATGTCCATGGTCCTAGCAAATTTTGAGTCTGTAACTCCTGTGTAAACTCATAAATACATGGCAATAATATAAATCCTGTAAATTATCAATAAGCTGTTCTTCAGAGGTTATTATTTATTAAAATAACATAGTGGTACAAAAATTAACCAGGTCCTCTTCTGCAGATACTGTCTTCTTTCATATATGTTCCTGTGAGGGTGTATTTATTTACAGGCTCATAAATAGAAGCTTAGACTGGTATTAATTAGAAAATATGTCACCTCTGATCTTGAAACTAATTGGTTTGTAGGGACTTTGTTAAATTTGCATAATTTCCTCAGCATGATGTCTTTAGTCTCCTTTCATTTTTAAGTGAAAATGTCTTTATATCAATACCAAATGGAGAGTTTTAAAAAATAAGCCTTCCAGTGATTATAGGTTAGGTGTAGCGTTTCATCCTGTAGTAAATGGATATATTTCTGTCACGTATGTTGAAACCTGGAATTCAGTCAGAGGCAGAAAATTTTATTCATAGGCATGGATCCTTGTTAAATAAGCATTACCTTTGCTTTACCCCTTCCGCACTGGGGATGTACAGCAAAATGTAGATTCTAGTGAGTCCTTACTTCCTCATGGCAATTACCAAGGAAAACCTGACTGGAGAACCTGTTTTATCCCACACTAAGTCCCTGGCTGGGTTTCCCCACACCAGATGAGAGGAAATCTCAGCTCCCTCCTTTACAGCTGCCTAAATTTTTCATATGCAGCATCTAAGAAAATAACCAACCAAACCCTAACAAAATAAGCCATTGGTGCCATTTGCACTATTTCTCAGTAGCCTGCAGCCAGTGCCAAATCAATTCTTTTAAGTAATCAGTAATGTCAGACCTCCTGGTTTTGGCAAGCAGTAGGACTTAGAAGTCCTGCTTAACAGCAGCACTTTTCATTTAAAGTAGCTTTAGAAGAACTAGGACTGTAAAATTTGAGGTTTACGAAGAAAAAAAAATACATAGCTCCAAATTCTCTGCTTCATTTTGTGGATGTGTTCTGGCACACATAAAAGGGTGTGTATTTTCTTCCTAGGACTGGCCACAAATGGTGGTAAAAATACATAACTCTGTTCCACATGGATGAGGAGGGAAGTTATGGAATAGCACGCCCATTTCCCCTCCAAGGAAATGGAGTGACACAAGGGACATTGCTTGTCAGCTCACTGAAACTTTGGGGTTAGCTCTGCTCTTAATACCAGCTACTATGAAGTCTCTACACAAGAAATAAGAGGCTGAGAGCTCTTGAACAGCTCTCCTGTGTCTTGTTAGTTCAAATGTGAAATATTGCTCTCATTCACTGAATATAAGCCATATGACCTGTTGTCACACAGTCCTAAGATGAACATGCACTGGTTTACCTGAAGGAATAAAACATATATTAACATATAGTTTTGTAAGTGGACTGTTAGGCTTGTATACAAATTGCAATTCCACTTTATATAGATGCTTTATGTAGACGCTGATGTAAAATTTGATTGGAGTTTACCTTCTTAAACTGTGATCTCTCACAGCTAATCCCAGACCATAAACTATCCTTTTATACCATTTGACACAACGTATTAAGCCATCAGGAAAAAATATTTTTACTTATACAAGCCACCCACTTCATTGAGATAGTCAAAAAAGCAGATTAAGAAACTGCAGAAAATAAATTAATTATATTACCATGAATTTCTGGAATATTAATAGAAAGTGTAAAGGATCATTGTACCAAAAGAAGCAATTAACAAATTCCTCCTTTAGTTTCAATTCCTGTTAGGTGGAGGGAAAAATGCAAATTTGGGCTATAAACAATGCTAAGAAAGTGCTCACCCACACACCATTGCCCCAAGGATAATTATTAGACAGGGCTTGGTTAAAAAGGCCAATATGCCATGAATTCGGAATTAAATTACATTGATATCAACTGAAATCAGAACACTTAGAGTGAAAAGGTTATGGAGGAATACAACCAAGAAGAAATTGGATGGAGACATAAAGGTACAGATGCTTTGAGTGTCTGCTGTTGACTAATAGGTGAAGAGTATTGCTCAGAATACAGGACTCTATGGCAACTCCTGACTTTAGGACTTAGCTTTTAGAAATGTTCTGCTATTTGGTATAAAGATAGATCAGTTTGCTAAATCTCATGTAATCTGACCAGCATGGTGAATTTCAAAAAAGCAGCAGAAAATCTCAGCATAAAGAAGGTGTGAGTGAACAAACTGAATACTTATTTTATTCATGCATTGCATCATGTTTCAGGCTGATGAGAAGTTAGGCTTGGCACAAGTCTCCTAGAAAGTGGACAATGAAATCAAAATTTCTTGATTTTTGTTTCGCCATGGCAAAACAGAAATCGTGTGACATGATGATAATTAATAAACCCAGAGCAGTATTGCATAAGATAACACACAATAGCTAAAAAGTAGCTCGGTGGCAGATTTGTCACTGTGCTAAGACACATGCATGATGCTGTGATAAACACTGGAAAAGGCACTTGTTAAAACAGCCCTTATCCCTGAGGAATTTACAGCCTGGGAGACAGAGAGAGATAAGATAAAATGCACCTGGTAACCAAGAAGTGATGCTATTTACATTTTTCTATTCTGTTTGCTTTCTTTTCCCAATGTTTCACCCTCTGTTTTATAATGAGGTGCTGGGCTGGTTGATGTGACACTTGTGAGTCTCTACGAAGGATTTGATTGAAGAACACTGGTGGCTGGCACTGGGCTTGGGAAATCATATTTCACGAGATAGGCAGCCAAGAGGAAAGTAGAAAGACAGTGATTATTGGAGACAATTTTTAAAGCTCAGTCCCTGTCAAACGCTGAACATTTTGACTCCTGTCAAAGAAAATAAGGAGGGGAGTATTATTTAGAAAGGGATAGCAACTCCTGTATGCTCAGAAGATGAGGGTTTTTTTTCCATTCAGATATTTAATGCATAAGCCAGTCCTCCTCTCAACAGTGCAGCCTTTTGATGAACAGTAACTGTCATAACACTGGAATAAGAACTCAAGTGGTGCTGCTGCTAAAGATTTTCATTTGCCTTGATAGCATCCAGACTAGATATGAGGCCTTGTTTGAGCTCCCAAACGTCATTAGGTTTCTCAGGGTTAATGCTAGGCTGCTAGACTTACTGAAGCCATTCTAATCCTTTCCTCTTCTCATTAGAGCATGGCTGTCACTTTTTCTCAGCTTCTGCATCTGCCTGTTTCCTGGTTTCCTTCAATATATTCTAACTGCACTCTCTTCAGTATTAGCTCTCCAGTTTCCCTTCCCTCAGTTTTCCCCTTATCTCCTTCTGGTAGCATAATATCATCACAGGAAATTCATGGCCAAGTTTTCTGAATCCTTTTTCCTTCTCCTACTCCCTTCTCTCAGTGAGCACTTTGTATGGCCTTACCTTGTAATATTAGCCAAGTCACACTGTATCTTTTCTACTGTGTTCTTTGCCATTTGCAAACACTTTTATTAGTCTCTACTTGATTATCTTTCCATTCTGAAAATAATTTAGTTGGTGATATTTGCAACAGCAGGGTTACAGCTCAGTGAAGTACCTCACATGAATCTCTGTGTTTTCAGTAAAAAAAAAAATTTTTTTTCACCTCAATAAATTTGAATCCTGGTGTCCTCCCGCAGCTAAAAACTGTGTTTTCCAATGAGAAATGAAACTCATATCTTTGGTCCTTTTTTGTACTGTATAGTTCAAGTGTACTCTGCACAGCCTAATAACAACATTCTTTTAAGGTTGGTTACTGCAGCACAGTAGGTGACAATGATTATGAATCAATTCAATTCAATGAATGTTATCCAGATGCACTATAGCTGTTAGAGTATAATATTTATGATAGTTTTGAAAAGGTGTAATATCTATTACCAGTCTAAAAACTCTTAAACATGCCCTCAAACACGATTAGCTGTAATTTATTTGAACAGAACATGAACAGATAAGCACTTCAGTTGACACAGTCATACTCAAAGCAAAAAAGAATTTGATTAATATAAAGCACCTGTGTGTTTTAAATCATTTTAAAGATGGCATCTGTTTTCTTATGAGATTAAATCTATGTAATATCAGTATTTTATCTCTAGCCAGTGTGTCTAATAATCTCAAAACTAATAAAAAGAAGTGTACAAAGGAATGGATCTGAAAGAAGAAACATGTATGTTTTTAAAACATTCAGCACTTTTACTGTTTATCTAAAGACCTTTGTAGGAATCTATCTGATAGATTTGAAAGCAAGATGTAGGGATTAAACACTTGTCTGGGTGTTAAAACTCAAGAGAGATTTGAAAGCAGATTAAAGCAAGAATCAACTTCTTACCATCACCATTGTCATCACACTTCATATGTACTGTACAGAACACGGCACAATACAGGAAATTCTAGTGGTTTTCAAAAGCAGAAGAGACAGACCCTTCCTTCCTTCCTTCCTTCCTTCCTTCCTTCCTTCCTTCCTTCCTTCCTTCCTTCCTTCCTTTAAAAAAATTTACATTTACATATTTGAGAAAA